TACTTGATGATGCATTTGTTGACTTCTCTTCTTCTTCCTTCTTCTTTCTAGCTTCTCTCCTTCTTCTTCTTGCTTCTCTTTTGAGCTTTCTTTCTTCTTTTCTTTGCTTCTTGTCTTCTAACCGCTGCTGCTCCTTCTTCTTCGCTCTTGCTTCTCTTTTGAGCTTTCTTGCTTCCTTACCTTTTCTTCTCTCGTCATCATTGAGAGCTCTTTCGGCATCGGTAGCCTCAAGATGTGGTAGCATGGTGTTGCTTGCTGTCGACATGCTCAACTCGCTGCTGTTGGTGTCGTGCGGATCAACCCACTCCGGATCAACATCCACTGGCTTCACGCCGCTAGTTCCTCCTCCGGGCTCCATACCTCATGTGGTGAAGCGCACACGAGGTAACCTGCGCTGATATCACTTGTAGGATCTCTGGTTAGCCTAGAGGGGGGTGAATAGGCCTGTTAAAACAAAACTTGAACTTTTGTCAAATTCAACCCGCGGCACTGCCACTCTATGCCTGCGGCACTGCCGCATCTGTAGACAACTTCATGATGTAATTCAAAATTTGTAAAAGGAAACTTGGATCCAATAGAGTAATGAGGTCCCTGTAGGTATATTGAACATAGATCGACAGCAAGAAGTGGTAGAAACACCGCACACAAGTAGATCGACCTTAAACCATAGAAATTACCTCAACAACAATATGAATCACAAGAATGGAAAACAAGCACAAGGTGACACAATGATTTATCCCGTGATTCAGCTCGCCACTAAGGCTTGCCTAAGTCCACATTATTCAGGTTAGCCAGTAAGGCTTAGGGCTTTACAATCCTTCCTCATTCTCAAGTCAAGAGACTTAACTCTTGAGATGATGGGTGAGTTTTCTAGCTGCAAGAGTTGGTTACAAACCTTTTGGGACTACCACATAAGTTGGCAAGCTTCACGGGCGAAGCTCTAGCCGGCTAGGAGCTAAGCTCCAATAGTAACAAACACAACCACCGGCCAAAACGTGAACCAAGTGTTGTTTAGAGGTTGGGAATCAGTGGATTTGCTCTCTAATCGAGTTTGGCATCTTTTTCTCTCAATGATTGATGAGGAAATCAATGGAGAAGCTTGGGGGCTCAAGGTCACCAATGGAGAAGAGAGAGAGAATCACTTTTTTGTTTCTTTACAAGCTAAATGGTTGAGGAAGAAGAGAAAGACGTTGGGGAGGAAGGGGAAAGGTATAAATACCCGCAGCCCCTAATGGTCACTTAAGTCGCGGCAGTGCCGCGGCTCAATTGCGGCAGTGCCGAGGCAAGACAGCAAGGGTAAGAGTGAAGTGTTGGGTGTCTTGGCTGTGAAACTGAGGATATATGTGTAGAATTGAGCACTTTGTAGCATATGTTAGCTTAAGCTTTGTGTTCCTCTTTATAGTACGGCTTTTTCTATATTCAAATTCAAAATATAAAAGAATTTAAACCTCCTTTAAATTTGAAGCCATCAACATTTGTAATTGAGGGCTCCTCCATTTCGTATAACATCCTCGATTATAAATTACCTGCTTGTCATGTCAATAAATCTCATTAGTCCTCTAATTACGTGGTCATTATCAAAAACCCATAATTAGGGCTTAATTGCACTTTTTAGGCGTGGCCGGGGGGCTCGCCCGCCGCACAGCCCACCTCCCCCGGCTAGCTGGTGGTGGTCTCAACCTACGCCCCTGCGTTCGACCTGCTTCGGGACAGCCACCATGGAAGTCCTCAAAGCTCCTCCGTCTTGTCCTCCCCAACTACTGGTGCCGTCGCCGTGACTCGAGGAAGCTAGCCGGTGCCGAGGGTCGGGCTGTCGCGGCGTCCTCAAGTGGCGCCGCCGGCCGCCCCCGTCCAGCCAGGGCCGCTGGCAGCCATGCCACGACCGGCCAGAGGCTGATGCCGGCCGGCCAATGGGGCCAGGCGCGGCCACTTCGGCCAGCCACTGACCTGGTTTGTCCGCCCACCACCTGTTCGAGCAAATGACCGTGTGCTCTCTGTTCCAGCAAATGGCCGCGCGGCTCGTTAATGCTTGCTTGCTTGTTGGCCGGAGCACATGTTTCTTGTTTTTTACTTTGCGCAGGAACGAGGAACAACTGCTTGTTTTTTGACGAAGAATAGATGCTGCTAGTTGAAAGGAGCAGGGATATATTTGAGCAGGGATTACTACTGCTTGCTCAAATGTTTCACTGAACATATGTGCTATAAGATTTTTCGAAAGCAGAGATTGTTGTTGATAGCCTCTTAAGAACTTTTTGCGACTAAATTATTTACAACATAATATTTTATATCATATTTCAATTGCTAAAAGAATACATTCACTCATATGCTTTATATATCAAAACATAGTGATTGTGTGATATTAATTTCTGTTTATATGGATATGGATTGTTAGTTGAAATGTTGTTGATTTTTTCTAAAATTTGTTGAGTTTTCCACTGATTGGATTGTATAATTCTATATCAAAATGGCTAAATTCTTGATCTGAAAATAGGGGTAAAAACATAAATATCATAATAAAACAGAGGTAAAAACGCATGGACAAAGTTGTCCTTTCATCCCAAAGTTAACACCATTAGAAAGACTTAACAGACTAGGGGTAAACTCTTCATTCGTTTAAAAATAGCAGGGGTAAAATCATAAAGTTAAAAAAACGAAGGTAAAATCATAAATGGACATCAAAATAGGGGTAGAAACGCTTAAGCCCCTAACATTTAGGTCTCCAACTAAATTTATTATGAAAGTATATTTCATAATCAATGTTAATACCATTTACTATAAACTCGGTCAAAACTAAACTAGTTGACTTGCAAACAAATTATAGTTGTATTCTTTTGTGGACGAAGAGTACTAGAAATTTAGTCAAACAAACCGCCTTAACTAGCACACAACCCGTAGTAGTATTTTTTTTAACAGAAACTATACCGGTACACTGGTACTCTCTCCGTCCAGAAAAGAATGCAATCATGTGATCCATATCGGTCAAAGTAGAAAGTTTGACCAAATTTATAGCAAATAGTATTAATATTTATATCTTCAAATAAATTTATTATGAAAATATATTTTATGACTAATCTAATAATACTAATTTTGTATCAGGAATGTTAGTATTTTTTATATAATTTTTTTATCAAAGTTTAAATTGACTGATTTCACGGGAGACGAGAATTGTATTTTGTTTTAGACGGAGGGAGTATTTTGCTACGGAGGAAGCATGTGATGCCAGAAGTATTTGAAAACCGCGTCACACAACAATTAATTAATAGATGTGACGTCGTCTGATCAGTCATCCAAAGTTGCATCTTGTACTCCTCCATCACGGTGTGTCGTGGACAATGCAATACTCTTTCATGACACAAGTTGCATCTTGCAGGTCATGCTGCATTAATGCATGCAGGTTGATTAAAACTGCTCGCGGTTCCCGAAACCCCGGCCAGACCGGCCACTGCATATACGGAGATGAATGAGAAATGAAAGAGGAGTCAGAGGATGTAAATGAAGCACACAACATGTTCCCCTGTTTTTTCGCTGCGGTAAGGGCAGTTCCAATGATGTATTGATGATGATTTCTATCATCATTAAATGACTTGCCACGTAGATAAAACGTTGACATGACAACGTAATTAATGAAAAAAGAGAGCAAAAATCATAGAAATGGTTTTCTCGTGAAGAAATCAGGTCTACTCTTGACCCAATGCACTAAGAAACCATGAAATCACAATTGGGGAGAAACCATCAGTTTCTATGGAGCTCGTGTCGCACTCCCATTGGAGGAAGAAGATAGAGTTGAGAGAGAGAAAGAGAAAATAATTATTACTCATAGAAACTATGAGTTAGAAAGCAGTATTTTTTTGGTGCGGTATCCTATGTTATATAAATTACTAGTTTCTTTCATTGGGACTACACTAAAGAGATGCAACTTCCTCTGTTTAAAATTTTAGTATTCAAAATTTCAAGTTGAACTGATGTCAAATGACATTTCTTTGCCCCTGGCATCCTGATCCGAATATGCCACCACTGTTTAGAAAAGTATTATTATTTATGACACCGAATAAGTATACAACAAAATACATCTCATGATAAATCTAATGATACATATTTAACAACATAAATATTGATACCATTTTATATATGGCTGTCTAATTAAGATAGTTTAACTTAACACTGATAGAATTGTATTCTTTTTCGAACGAGGGAGCACCAGCGTAACTCAACAAGTTGTACATACCTAGCTAAGAAATCCAAAATTCATTCAAATTGGTTCTTGAAGTTACTTTCCGACAAGATGTTGAAAGTGAGGGAACCCCTGAACAGTTTTCTCTATAAAAATGTATGCTTCTAATTAATCTCTGAATTAACCAGTGAAGTGCTTGCAGTTGCAGACAGGCATTTTTCCAGGAGTAATAATAAGCATATATTGCAAGGATTTGGTGATCGTCTTATCCCATCTCACAGAGAAAAGCTGAGCTCACAGCAATGCAAATGGAGCTCTCAAGGGCATGTGACGGATGCAGGAGAAAGCAACAACACAGGTCGCCCTCTTTTTTCCTTTGGACGTACTCCGGCCCCTATAGCAATGCAATGCAAGCTCATGCATGCATTGTTGCTGCAAAAAGCCCTTTAAACAGATCCTCCGATCCTAAACGCGCTCGATCTAACAACTACTCCATCCATTACACACCCTACATTGCAGCGCTGTTAGCTAGCTTTCGATCGATCACCTCACCTCTACCACTACCACTATCTAGCTGCTGCTGATGCTCCTACACCTTTAATCCTTTTCCCTGGCTGCTGCTGCTGCTGCTGTCGTCTGTCCATGGCCTCCTTTTAACAGTGAAAGATGCATATATGGTGCCTCTCTCTGGGACCATCAATGCATCCATCTTAACACGATCATATCCCATGAACACATGCAAAGCAAAGCACCCCCCCCATAGCCTAGCTAATCCTCCGATCCTGCTTGTCGCCGTCGACGAGACGATGACCTCTGGTTGCTTTGCATGTTAGTGCCTGATGCGTGGGCCTAGGGTGAACTCCAGGTTCAACCCGCTGGCACACGACGTCGTCTCCGACACGCAGGAGTTGTTCATGTCCGAGAGGATCTCCAAGCTCTTGGACTGCATCGTCTGATCCTGCGTGCACAAACGAGTAGTCGATCGGTCGACATGTTCAGTATATTCAGAGATGCAACAGGTTCAGTAGTGTTCTTGCGTAGTAGCAGTATATATATCTACGTACCTTGAGAGATCGAGAATGCATGCTCATGCTCCCGGTGTTGGAGTCGCTGGGAAAGCCGGTCCAGTCTTCCCTGTAGACACAACAGAACAAAGCCACCAACAGACACAGAGCTCAGTTAGTACGGACGTTGCGTCGTCACAAGTAACTCGATCTAACACTGTGACTACATGCAGATGCAGTGCATAAAAGAGCTGGAGACTGTAACACTGCATGTTACTGTAATACATACTGTAACGGCAGTGGAGCAAGTTATTAGGAAGTGCTGTCACCAACACCATATATAAATTCTTAATAACAAAGTATATATACACGCAATAGTTAGTTAACTAGCTAGGGCAGTAATAAGAGCTGGTACTGGCTGGGGGAAAACAGTTAGTGATAGATTATTACGCACTTGATAGTAGCACTGTCTATTACTGTTACTGAAGCCAAAACAAGTGCGTGGATACACTAATCCTAGTATATATACTTGCATACTAGCAGTATATGGTAAATATAATGTTGGTGCTCCTGCAAGTACTTGTCTTTAAGATGAACTGCATGCATACACTACTATACCGACAAAAAGGCCACGGGCAGCCTGTTCGGTTGGCTGGTTCATATCGTTGCTGGTTCGTTTACGTAAGAGAGACTGACCGGTTCAGATGAACAGTGTTTTTGTGAGCGGCTGGCCAGCCCAGCCAGCCAGCCAGCCAGCCCGCCCGTCCGTCCGAGCCGATCACGCTCATACACAAAAGAGGCCATAATTGAGGCAGGCTTCAGGCACACACAGACACCTACTACTAGGTGATCCATGTCAAAAGGTTTGCTGGTCGTCTCCATGAAGTAGGGCCGCTTTCCTGAGCTCATCATATTTATTGGGAACTGATTCTTAGGAGAGCAGTAAGGGAGATGTGCATGTGGGTAAAAGAGGCTTCCCCCTTTACATGACCTAATAAAGCTAGTGACTAAACCACCCCACTGCAACAAAGCTCAAGATTTGATTTGACAATGTAAGTTGACATCAGGCAAAAGTTAGTTCTTCATCCATGTCTAATTCTAATATAACCCTACTCTTTTAGCTCACTGTTTTCATGCACATATGTGGTACACGTAGTACTTATCATAAGATTAATAAGCATATGTATATATATGCACCTTGAGGAGCTATTCCAGAGGGCACCATGAGCGCCGGTGCTGCTCCCATGATCGTTACAGGCAGCTAACCTTCCATGGCGAGCCGCCGCCGACTCTGGCCTGCCGGGGGTGCCGTGCAGATCGAGCGAGGAGTTGTCGTCGCAGATCTCGCCGGCCGACCCGTTCTCGAACCCATCAGCTTGATCTGCAGGACCCACGCGTGCGTGCAAAAGACACAATTATTAGGCAACAAGCATAAGATTAGCATATGTACTCATTGGCATATCCATAGGAAAGGATCAGAAACACAAGTGATGCTGAAGATGAGTAGCTGATCGATGATGGAAAGAGAGAATAAAATGGAAGGCTGAAGCAGCAGCAGCAGCAGCAAACTCTCTCATCACTCATGTCATGTTAGCATTGATTCTAAAGCGCGCGAGCAAATAAAGCACAAATCTTGTACTATTCACCTGACGAAGCTGCCGGCCTTTCGGTGTTCTTCACGGTCCTGTACATCTGCAGCAGGCAGCAACATGGCAAAAGATCAGTTTAGAGCCAGGCAAAGCATATCTATCTACCTATCTAGTATGAAACACATTTGAAGCAACTTGCGGTACAAATAGGGGAATCTTTGGCAAATCATAAGATTTGCATTTTTCAGGAGGCAACATCGTGTGCATGCTGCTGCAAGATTTGATTTGACACCTTAAGGCAGAAATCAACAAGCAAGGGGAAAGTAGTAGCTAGCAGGAACCCCATTCACAGTATTGACAGGCATGCAAAGTAGAGTAACTATTGTGTGTGATTCATGTGTGTGCATGACAGTAGTGATGCAAAGTAGTAGCTAGCTAGAAAGAGTGGAGTACAGTTTTTTGCTTAGTGGCCTAGATGTGAAACCTGCATTTTTTGCTTTTACAACAAAGTTGAGATACATGGACCTAGCTGGCTAATGATGATCATAAGTTTCCATGCATGGTTTTTACAAGGGATATGATACTGATGCAGCAGGATCTTTGGAGGAGGAAGACACTACAGGGAGTTCAGACTTTAGCCCCATCTGCCCTGCCCATCTCTCTCTCTCTCTCTCTCTCTCTCACCTTTGCTCACTTTCTTCCACTTTGATGCATATCATCTGTTGCATGTACACACACATACAGCATCGAGCAGTGTGCACTGTGCACTAGACTAGCACTAGTAGCAACAGGCAAGCAGGCAGGCTCCTCTAGCACTGATGCGGCAGCAAAACTACAAGAGCCAGGAGCAGAACGGATCCCCATATTGGCATGTGTTTATGTTAACTTGTTTCTCACCCACACCACACGCGGTTTGTTAATCCAGCTAGCTGGTGTTGCTACTCCTACTTGCTAGCAAGCGCAGCTCTACGGTATATTACTGTCACGGAATGATCAAAATATAAAATATAGGAGGTGTAAATTGTCGTGTGTGAGAAGAGGAAGGATCGGAGTATGCACCTGCAAGTGAGACTTGACATGAGCCAGGGTGAGATCCTTCACGTCCATGAGCTCAAGAACTGACTTGGGCGTTGCCCCTGGAAGTTCATCATCATGCACAAGAACAAGTAAAATCGTCAGTGATGAGCACAGCGTCATACTCATGGATGAACGCATCAAGAAGAAGAAGCAGCAGCCATGGAGGAAGAGGAACACAACACAAAGAAAGGTAGCTAGAGAGACAGGCAAAGCAAGGGCAGATGCATGTGTATGGGGGTGACGATGGACCCGGAAGAGGGCATGTACGTACTTTCGTGGCCGCCGAGGAGCTCGACGGCGTGGACGAAGCGGGCGTGGAGCGTGGACGTCCAGCGCATGCGCGGCGCCCTGGCGGCGCGCTTGGCCGGGGGGAACCCGGCGACGCGCGCCCCGACGCCGCACCCGGCGCGGCGCCAGGAGCCCGCGGCGACGTGGCAAGGCTCGCAGAAGCACGGGCCCGCCGCCCCCGGCCCCGCCGCGTGCGGCGGGAACGTCGGCGGCACCGCGTGCGTGTGCGGGTGCTGGTACAGCGGCACCCCGCGGATGGGCCGCAGCATGGCGGCGGCGTCGGGGTGGTAGTACAGGCCGCCGCCCGCCCCTGCAGCAGCGGCGTTGGGGGGCATCGGCATCGGCATGGGCAGTTGCACCGGCAGCGGCAGCGGCAGCGGCATGGGCATGGACAGCTGCAGCGACGGCGCCATGGCCGCCGCCGGGTTGCCGCCAGGGAACCCGTTGCCACCGCCGACGCCGCCACCTGCGGCGGCTGTCGCTGCGAGGAACCTGGCGCTGAGGGCGGCGGCGCCGTGGTGGTGGTGGTCGTGGGGCGTGGCGCTGGCGGGGAGGCCGATCTGGAGGGAGAGGTCCGGCTGGGAGGGGAAGAGCTCCATGGATCGATCACACACACTACTCTCTCTTACAATCCCTCGCAACTACACTTTGCTTGTTGCAGACGAGTGAGGTGAGGTGACAGAGAGCTGTCTTTCTCCTTTCCCTCTCGCTCGCTCGTTTCTTTGTTTGTGAAATGAAACTTGTGGAGGCTTGAGCTCGGCTAGAGGGATGGACGGGGCGACACTGTCCTTTTCTAGTGAGTGGGGGGTGAGAGGAGAAAGAGAAAGACAAGGGTAAAAATGTAAAAGCTAGAGAGAGAGAGTGTGTGAGTGTGATGGGCAAAGCGTAGTTTACTTGATGAGAGAGAGAGAGAGGAGGGGCGGTGGATGATGAGTTAATGATGGGAGGCAGCAGTAGACCTGAGCAGCAACACCCTGTCCTGTTGGGCTGGGCACGGCGGACACAGATGCAGAGGCAGCTAGCTTTCTCTCTATCCATGACTGGACCTGGACGACGACAGAGCTGGAAGCAGATGACAGTTTGAATGGCAGGGGCAGATCGCAGGATTATTTGCTTGCTTGGAAGGGGGTAAAGAGATATTCCAACCCACCACTTTTGCATTTGCATGGCAGCCTGAGCCTGCTTGCATGAACAAAAGGCCTTTTGGATCATCGATTGGGATGAGATGAGAGCTCAGCTGCTGCTGCTGCTGCTGCTGCTGGGGCTAATTGTTGTGTGAGTGGTGGGTTGTTGGCACATGTTTTTCTTGCTACCATGCAGCCACAAACCTCTGCCTCTCTATACATTCATTCATGCAAACTAAAACCAGCTTCTTTTTTTACTTTGGTGTTTAGTTCTTTAGTCGCTCCTAAAATTCATGTCACATCGAATGCTTAGATACTAATAAAAAATATTAAATATAGATTAATTACAAAACCAATTACATAGATGGAAGCTAATTTGTGAGACGATTTTTTTAAAACCTAATTAATCTGTCATTAGTATATGTTACTGTAGCACCACGTTGTCAAATCATGTGCTAATTAGGCTTAAAAGATTCGTCTCGCAAATTAGTCACAAGTTGTGCAATTAATTTCGTAATTAGTCTATATTTAATACTCCATTTATGTATCAAACATTCGATGTGACAGAAATTTTAGGAGCACCTAGGAAACCAAACAGGGCCAGCATTGGATTAATGGCGAGCCAAAAACCCCTTTCTCTCTTTCAACTCTTGTTTGTTGCATCCATGCATAGATGGGTGGTGCACAACAAGCACATGACGACTTTGCTTCTCCCGCTTGGTTTGTATGAACTCCGATCCAGCTAGGTGGCTGCAGGTTTATACGCATGTCGTCTCACTTTTCTGCGTGCTGCTTGACAAAGTTGAGCGTCATTGTTCGTTGGCAACTTTTGCCAAATAGTAAAGTGCGTGCGCGTCACTTAGCCTATTCACTGATTGGTTTATGGGATGATAAGCTCGACTGTTGCTGGTTTGTTGTAAAAGAAAAATAGTATAACATGGCTGATAAATCCTGGCCGAAACCAACGAGCGAACAGATTGACTGCGGTTGGAGTTGGAGCACATATATATGCCATGCATCATGCATAGGACTACACACCCTCTCTTGTATCTGGCTTGGCTAGTTGATGAATTGTTAGGTGTTTTTTATGACACTCTTTTCGCAAAGTAAAGTAGTAGTATATACTAGATTGCATGGTAAAAGTAAATCACGTGATGGATCGATGCAGATCGAAGTACGTACTGTACGTACGTGCACACACAGCAGACAGCACCTGTCCTCAATTATATCATGTATGTACTTGGTATTCAAAGACTGCAAAGGTTGATAAAGCATCATGGAATTGAATGAATTAGTAGGAGTGTGATCGAGTACCAGCTTATTTTAAGGCGGTGTTCACTGTGTCTGCTGAACCGGATGGCTTGGAAAGTTGGAATGCCATGGTATTCACAAGTGCAACCGGCCTGTCAGCAAACCAAAAGCAAAAGCAATACTACTACTCCTACAGCACATTGAATGTGCATGCATGTACAGTATATGACAATTTTTTTTTTGGAATCGTATATGACAATTGAATACTCGTACTTACTCAGTACTCCGTACACCACTCCCTTCTCTTCTGCTCCCATTCAGGCGGTGCCTTGCATCAGACAGAACAGCAGGGGCACCGGCCGGCCGGTTCTTCATCCCGCATCTCTCACACATGACACACCCTCTCTCTCTACCTGATGAGAGAGAAAAAAAACACTATTTGCTGTATGGCCGTATGATGAGAGCTGCCCGAAACCGACAAACGAACACGGGCTGCGTGCAGTGCCTGTGGATACGAAAACCTACAGCTTTGAATGCGATGGAAACCTTTTTGGTGGGTTGGAATTGCTGGTTGGGCCTTGTTTAGATTGTAAATTTTTGCAATCTGGATCACTGTAGACGCGTTTTGTTTGTATTTGATAAATTTTGTCTGATTATGGACTAACTAGGCTCAAAAGATTCGTCTCGTGATTTACAACCAAACTGTGTAATTAATTATTTTTTATCTATATTTAATGCTCCATGCATACGTCCAAAAATTGATATAATGGGAAAGAGTGAAAAAACTTAATTTCGAAGCCATCTAAACAAGGCCCTTGCATTGGCCACAGACTCGCTCGCTCAGTCCCAATTTTTTACTAATTTTTTGTTTTACAGACAAGAGCTTCACTGTTGAGAGGCTAGGGCTAGCTAGCAGCTAGTGTAAAAGGGCTAGTGGTAGACCGTAGGCAGACGAGACTGGGTGCTACGGCCGTGAGGTCACTCAAGGTCACCTCAGCTTTGCATGATCGGTGTTGGAATGGGAAATTTCCGCTACGGACTACGGTGTCGGTCAACAGAACTTTCCGCTGCTACACCGTTTACTATGACACAAAAAAACAAGCACGTACTCCTACGTGCTCCTCTAGTCCTCTGCAGCACGCACGGCTGTCTCTGTCTCGTCTCACAGAAAAAACAATCTGAAACTATAGTTAACTCGTACTTTTGTTTTTTTCTCTCGTAATAATTCTACGTGTACGGATTACGGAGTAGTACTCCTACTTCGTACTAGCAGGGCGACCTGCGTTAATCGCACAGCTATAAATTAATACCAGTATCTATCTATAAGTACAAGTATATAAGTATATATGTATATGTTTCGTTACATGATTCTGCTGTCTTTTATCATCGAATTGTGTCTTTCACTATCGTTATGCTCCATCAACGGCCCCACTTTCCACATTGTGCCTCTCACTATCGCGTTCTCATGCCTGTCCCCATGATATTGAGCTATATATTTTTCAAGATTTGTACTCTTCACTCTCAAAATACTTGACCTTATAAAATTTAAATTTTGTTCTAAAATATTTGACATTCTCATTTCTCAATACATCTTTCTCTTCTTCAAATACATTTTTTTCTTTTTCCAATACGTCTCTATCCCTCCTTTTTGTTTTCTATGCATCGTATCTTTTTACTCCTTAATTCTTGTATCCAAATCTAAAACATCAACTATTTTGGAACGGAGAGTACAATAGGTTATACTCTCTCTGTCACTGAATAAATCAATTCTTAAAGCTCTCCTAAGTCAAACTCCTTTTATGTTTCACTAGATTAATAGGAAAAAGTATAAATACTTTTGATACCAAATAAGGATACTATGAAACTATAGTTTATAATATCTAATGATACTAATCTGGTGTCATAAATCTTGATATTTTTTCTATAAATTTGGTCATACTTTTAAAAATGACTTTAGATAAATCTAAAAATTGATTTTTTAGGGACGAAGGGAGTATCACCTTTGTGACATTTCCCCACCACATCATTCTTTATACATCGTCATATATCGTTGTCGGTATTACAATCCACAACTTCATCGGTTTGCCAAACAACGTGGTTCCACTACTAACAATCTCTGGCTTATATTGCTCTTCCATCTAGCTCATTCTATGGCCTCGGACTACCAGGTCTAAGGCCCTGTTTGGATTGAAGCTTCTAAATTTTGGTCAGCTAAATCAGCTGCTAAACTTTAGTCATCCCTGTTTGGTTTGGTGGACTAAAAGAGATTAAAAGAGGCCTTTTAGTTCCTTTTAGTCAGGGTGTTTGGATACAAAGTGATTAAAAGGTGAGACAGCCAGACTTTTAGTCCAGTTTAGCTCCCCCTTGGTGACTAAACTTTAGCTCACCTTTTAGTCCCATTTAGTCCATGTGTTTGGATAAAAAGTGACTAAATGGGATAAAGTTTAGCAGCCCAAACCAAACACCCCCTAAGCAATACCCTCGTGGAAAAGCGCATATATCTTATTGGTCCCTGTCTCCATCAATGTTAGTGGTCATACATCTTCCTTTGATACATCTATCTTGATCAGAACTTTTGCTAGCTTTTTGTAACGATCCCATATGCATTTTGTCCACATAAACATCATTAGAATGAGCATTGCATCATAAAAATCCATATTTGCAAAAAAGCTTTGTGTTATATATTACTAAAACTGGCAATTACGTGCACTGGCGGATGGTCTTGATGAGCCGTCCAATGTTTGGCATATGGTCATTCTCTAATGAAAGATCCAGTCGGCACCAGACAGTCTACCAAATCACTAGAGAAATGACCTTTCGTCGATGACCAAAAAGTATTTAGTCCCGGTATAAAATTACAACGGTGACTAAAGGGAGGACTGAGACCTTTAGTCTCGGTTTGTAATATTAATTGGGACTAATTTCACCCTTTATTCCCGATTGTAACAGTTACCAAGATGTGTCAGTGTGGGAGGCTTTTAATCCCGGTTTGAGATATGAACTCGGGCTAAAGTGTGACTTTTAGTCCCGGTTTGAGACACGAACCCGGACTAAAGGTACCTTTAGTCCTGGTTTGCGTCTTGAACCCAGACTAAAGGTGCCTCCAGAGTGACTTTAAAAGAAAAGCATATCTTGTTTAAGTTAGATGTGTGGTGGAGTTGAGATGGAAACGCCCCGCAAGGGCTGAAATGGGAGGTCTTGAGTTCGAATCACCACACCCGCAC